TAAAGCACAGTAAAGATGATTTTAGAAACCAAAACTCTAGGAGGATTACCTCAGAGAAAGTAGTCAACAGATTACCATTTTAAAGTAGTTTTGACATAGTCACTACCAGTAATGCCTTGATAAAAAGGTGATCTTTACTGAAAAATGATTCCTGTCCCTTTTTTCTCATTAAATTGCCAGAATCATGTTAAATGTAAATGATGCTTCGAGTATGCATGCAGAAATGAACTGACTAAATGGCCTTTTGGAAAGAGGAATTTTCATCATAAATCTTAGATTCTATAATAAGAACATGTAGGGTCAGCATTGTTTAGCAACGTTCAGACATACAAAGATGGGTGGCTTCCACCTTGTGGTTGAATGCACAAGAGACTGGGTGTGGGTGTGGGTAGTGGAAGGGAGAGAAGCAAGAAAGGATGGATGGAAATAAAGTCCAATCAGGTTCTGCAGCTTTGTTCTTAAGGTAGTTTTAAAGCTAAGCATTTATTCTTGTGCAAATAACTGAATGGTAATGAATAGGTGCACACTAGGCGCAGAACTTCCAGAGTGGACAAATTCTTTCTCAAACTTTATGGTACCTAGAAGAAGAGAGAGCAGGGTAGAGGGCAGCAACCTAATGGTCCCAGGCAAGTCTGATCTGCTTCAGAACCTAGTAATTAGTAAATGCCACATCTGTGCTATTGTATGCTAATCTGTATTAGGGCATCTTTGACTTCTTGTCTTCTGTAAAGCTGTTCTTCAGCCTATTTCAGGCATTTTGGTGTGTTTCCTTTTTTTTCTTTTTCTGATTATTAAAAAATAACTCACGCTCCCGTACAATATAGAACACATGTAATAACAATACTGTTTTGAATAGGGCAGTTACTACAACAGTTAGGCGATATGTATAAAGTGCTGCAAATAATGGCTTATTTAGTGACTATTTGAAATTAAAACAGCACTGAAAGAAGTGACTTGCAACCTGTCTTTGGACTTGTGACCATTGCAGCATCCCCAAAGTCACGTGTTCAATATTCAGGTGCTTGGCAACCAGCTGTGTTTATGAAAGGGCAACGTCCTGGATTCAAGTGACTGCCATTTGCAACCTTCCCAGCTGGCTTCCGACAAGCAAGTCAATGGGGGAAACTAGAGTAGCTTATGACTGTAGGAGATGACCATGCTGATCCCGAGAGAGGGAGTCAAATGCATCATCAGTCTCGAGTCCCTTTGCACCCACAAATGATCTACGTCTAGCCCACCTTGATCTCCATTGACTCTTATCTACCACCAATTTGCTTGGAGCAACAGTAATTCAGATTCTTGTAGTCAGCTTAAACTTGCAATAAATTTTTATATTCCTTTGAACTGCCTGGATCTCCTGATTTCCCTGGTGCTTGGCAATGACGCTGTGATTCATTTAACAACTGCAGTAATTTGTTTAATAACTGTAGCAAAAAAAAAGGTTGTAAAATCGGGCACAAGTCATGTAACAGTCACCTTGCTTAGCAAGGGGAATTCTGGTTCCCCTTGTGGTCACAAGTCAAGGACTACATCCACAAGGCTTAGGATAGTGGGCAGTATTAAAGAAGAGACTGAGATCAATTCCACTGTTTCTTTACAAACTTTTCCATTGTATTCCAGAATAACAGAATAACAGTTTGTTCATATAATATAAACAGAGATCCCAAAATAGTTTTCACATATCATTAGATGGGGTATCTCACCAGTCTCTTTTATGTCTTATCCTCGAGAGATTTGATGAATGAATATGCCTCATTCAGGCAGTGTTTTCGTGTATCTAAAACTGTGGTTGGCTGCAAATACTTTTCCTTTCAGGAACAGTTCAAAAGAGCATTTCCATCTCTTTTTGCTCTTTCTGCTTAATGTAGAAGGGAAAACAAAATATACAATATTGTCAATGGAAATATTACAAGCAATTTAATAGCATATTAAATTAAATCTCCTATATCGAAATAGTTTAGGAGTCAAATCTTGAGATATAAGATAAACATATAGACCTGGGAATGTCATGCTCCTTTTTAATTAAAATGAGGGAAAAAATGTTATTGTTTTGAAATCATCATGGGGAAAATGCTTAAGTATTGCATTATTTAAAGAAAAAAACGAACTTTAGACTGGAAAGTTACATAAAAGAAATGATGCTAAATGATCCTTGAGGAACATTAGGCTAAGAGAGGATGAATGCCCAAATTCACCATATTGATAGAATTTTAAAATATGGTGGCGTCAGTGCCCATGTTTAAAAAACAATCAGATGATCCTTTGCTTTTGGTTTGATTAAAAATGTGTTTCTACCTCTGTTCAACTTACATCAGCAGGGCAGTTTACACAATATTATTTTAAAAATCCTAGTACATGGCAATAAAAGGCAGCATTATATAAAACGATCAGTTTTTAATTGGCTGGGCAAACAAATAAGCATTTGATCCGATGCTAGAAAGAATGATTGACATTAAATTCCATGTGAAACTTTTAGTCTACAACAGTGATGGCGAACCTTTTAGAGACCGAGTGCCCAAAAACCACCTCGCCCCTGCCCCGCCCCCACCTCTCCTGCCCGCAGGGTCACCCACCACCTCCACAGCCCGCCACAGCAGATCGCCCAGGCAGCCCAGCAGCGTCATGGTGGCCACGCCCTCTGTCCACACCCCACAGCATCATCTGTATGCAATGGGGTGCGAGGGCGGAGTCTTGTCCCCACTGCCCAGCTGCCATGCCCTTGGCTGTGCTGCTCTGCGCAGGCTGCGCCCGGGGCGACTCTCCTCCAGGGGGGGCTGCTGGGGAGGAGGGGGCCACAGGGAGTGGTGGGGCTGGGGCGACGGCATGCGTGCCCACAGAGAGGGCTCTGAGTGCCGCCTCTGGCACCCGTGCCATAGGTTCGCCATCACTGGCCTAGAAGGTGCACCATTGAACAGTGGGTGGTCCTGCCCAGTAATCCATCTTTCATGCTGATTGAAGTCCCTTTTATGAATTTGTGAGCCTTCACAAATTGCCCACAACCACAGCACCCCAGTAGGCTCTCAAATTTTCAGTTTGGCTACTTACCAAAAAACCCCTTTTCTTTTTTAACAAGTTTGGAATCTAAACCAACTGTGAAAATTAGAAAAGTAAGAAGGAAAATGTTTTGCATTTGCTCCACAATGACAACTGAATAGAATATTGAACATATATGCGGGTCAACTGGCTATTGTTATTTCTAAATTTGTGCTTTTGCTTATAAGTTAATGTGTACATTTATACTTGGCTTTC